GATGACTATTCCAAATAAGCAGTAGAAAAAGACATCTCTTAGTGCCTCCTTCACCAAATTAATGTTTGGAAGGTACTTTAAGCATATCTAGTTGCTGATTTTATTCAAAGGAATCCATTTTAAAGGGAGCCAGGTCAAAATGTTCACTTTGAAATGCACTTCAAGAGTACTGTAAAATAATGTAGTGTGCCCAAAATGATTACATGATTAAGCACTTACATGATTAAGCAGTCACCTGACAATATGTGGGCCACTGCATTTTGCATCATCTCTGGCAACAGTCCCCAACCTTTCTGGCTTGGTGGCCCTGGAGGGGTAGGGGATGGTCCCGTGTGAAGGGTGGGTCCTCTCTTGTGCGCTTATGCTCACACAAATGGAGCTTCAAGTGAGTACAAGTGCCCACTGCTCACAAATAGAGCTATGGGTGAGCATGAGCGCCTGCCACACTCGCAAGTGGAGGTGTGTGCACATGCACACACTTGCCTTCTTGTGTGGCCTGGTTCCAAAGAGGCGGCCTGGTAGTGGGCCATGGCCCAGGGGTTGGGGACCCCTGATCTATAGTTTCTAATTAAATTTCAAAGGCAGCCCTGTATAAAGGGCTGTGTTAAGGTATAAGTAACTGTTCCAGAACTCCTGTTCCAGAAAGTCTGCAACTGCACATCAGCCAAACTTGCAAAGGCTGTCAGTGACAATCATATGCAACACTCTGGCTGTGCCTGAATTTCAGATCTTGACTAAATGCTTGGCATAATTGCCTGCCAGGTTGCTCGGAGAATCTCCAACAGCCACCAGGGTACATGAGTTACTAGGGATGGTCCATCGGAACCCTGAATAGATAGTGACAAGCAGCTTCATTCAGACCAAGGAATGATTATGGCAAAGGATGATGGTGATAATAATTAGATTTGGAGGATGCTTCACTCTAAAATGTCTCTTGGTGGTTTACAGTTATATCCCATATACAAGCACTCACCCCAAAAAACTAAGCAGCCAAAGTTTTAAAGACTTTCAAGAAATCACCAAGGTGGGAGTTACATGGATCTCAGGGAATGGGGGGGGGGAGATATCATTCCAGAAGGTAGAATCCTTAAAACATCTTCCATTTTCAGATTGTACATTAACAACTCTGAGGTGAAAACTAACATGAGTCAAGTTTGAGATTTCATGGGATACGTTGATGGTATTCGTGGAGGCCATTAATTCCCGAGCCTTTCCAGAACAACCCTTCTGCCTAGGAAGGGAGATTGAAAACCCCAAATAGCCAGAAAACTCCAAAATTAGCCCAGCAATAAGGTACAGGTATTAAGGAAGGGATACTGCAACGTAACAGTGTATCTGCAAGAACATTTGAGCCTCAGCTTTGTTAGAAAGAGCAGCAAAGCACAAAATTAATGGGGACTTTAAAAATAATGGGTAATGGTAACAGATTTGTATTATAGATCTTTCAATTGGAACATCTAAAATAGCTTTGATTGGATATAGCCTCTACATATTTTGAGCATTAGAAGAAAGCAAAAGTAAATTCTTCCTTTCAAAAATTTCCTGCGTTTAATTATGCAATGCTCTCCCTTGTGGCCTAAGGTACTATGAATAGGACAGGTACAACTTAACATGCTGGTCACTGATTTCAGGACACAGCCATAGATCACAAACCACAACAAAAAAACACATTATGATTTAATACAATATGTGAAACCTAGATGATTCAGATGTCATTGCTTATTTTACTATGGTTTATAAATGTTTTCTATTATAGTAATCCAACACCATAATAAACAATCAATAGCTAATTTCACGGAACACTCTGTTAAAATCAAATAAATTGTGTTCGAATGAGATACTATGCTATGGTATGGCTTAATTTTGGCTTAGTGTGTCATGTGATCTAGCCATTATGATTGGCAGACCATGGTTTAGGCAGGAGTGGTAATTATCTGTTATTGTACTTCTAAAATTAACTATTATTGGCTCTTTATAATTTGTTGGATATGTAAAATCCTTCATCAATCTGCTTAGAATTTGAAAGCAGTGACTGATTCCATGGTGACTTTCCCATTTTATTAAAATAGCTTAATATGTTTTCTGTTTCCCTTGTAGAACAGAAATGGACACCAGTGGATTAGCCATCTGGATCATAATGACTTTTGAAGCAGTTCACTATGACAAATGTTGAATGCCTTGTTATGCAAGCACAAAATAAGCCATGTTGTAAAATAGATTATTTAATTATGAATGCAAGCATAGAGGTAATTATGGTAAACCAAGGTGTCTTTGGGGAAATTTATTAGTTTTATTAGCAGACATTTAGAAAAGATTAGTTGATAACCAAATACACAGAATGAATTCAAGTCATAGAACTAAGCCTCCCATGACTTAATTAAAAGCAGGCTCAGACTTCATTTAATTCATACTTAGAATAGAAGCACTATACTTGCGTCCATTCTTGCCATACTGTGTATTTAAATCATTTTAAATTATGGCTTCAGTTATTAAACTTCATCATAGGCACCCTAGTATTACAGGGAAGAATTAATTGCTCTAAGTATGGATTGAAAACCATAGGATTAGATTCCACCTACCACTGTGCTCATAGTATTAATTGAAGTAATTTCCCCCCCACTATATTAAAAAGTGACAGTAAATAGATGGTAGATTTTTTTTTAAAATAGTGACCCTAAAGGCAGCTAGCTGGCAATCTTCCTACTGTTTTTATGAAGGCTAATCTTATTTTGAAGATTGCTGTTTAATTACAAGTGAGAGAATCAGCATGACATTGTGGTTAGAATGTCTGTGGGAGACCTGTTTTCAAAACTCTGCTTGACCATTAAACTCACTGGTTCAGTACCGATCCCTTCCCCAGGGTGGCAATAAAATAAGTGAGAAGCAGAAAGTGAAGTATGCATATAAATTAGTTTCCTGGCAGAAAGGTAGATTGTAGGAAACTAAATATAAGAAATCTAATAAATTTTCCTTTTGGTTAGACTAGCACATTTTTCATTTACAAAGACAAATATACATGATCAAATCATGTATTGTAATCTACTGGATACTTTTGAGAGGCAGTGCAAAGAAAAGGTGCACCAAAGCATGCTTTTAGTTTAACATGTCACAGCTTAGTTGTGCAAATATGCTTTAAATGTTGAAGATCAAAACAGTCTTTTTTTCCCCTCAACAGTAAGGTGACCAACCATCCTCCTTTAGGGAGGACAGTCCTCCTTTTGTAAGTTCTGTCCTCCCTCGAAAAGTGTCCTCCTACATGTCCTCCTTTTTGATATTTGAAGACTAATCTGCCGGGCTTTTTTTCTCTCATAGAACGCTCAGAATGGCGTTCCGGCACCTTTTTTTGATGGTTGTTTTTCAACTTTTGCATGAGCTGTGCTACTCCCCCTATTGGCTTTCAAAAGCCAATAGGAATTGCTGCTGAGCCCGCCAAAACACCCGGCTGGCAAACTTTGCACATGCAAGTTGTCTGCAGTGAAGGCGAATTGGCAGGAACTTTGCACCCCTCCCTGCTACCCCACTACACCATTTCCTACTTAGTTCCAAAGATACCTGGAGGAGACTGGAGCGGTAAGTTTCTCTTGATCTTCGGCCCTGCTAGGGCAATAATGGCTGCAGGCGCAAGAGGCAGGGGCGGCGGGGGTGCTGCAGGTGGAGGTGTGAGGGGCAGCAGCGGCCGGCTGCTCCCTGTACTGTGGGAGCCGCGGGCTCGGCTCTACACGGGGCTGTGCAGGGGTGGGCGGTGGTGCTGGCGGGGCGGCTGCAGGCGGGGGGTGTTGACGGCGGGCTGCACCCCAGGGCTGGAGCCAGCGCACCTGGTGCTTTGGGAGCTGCGGGGCCGGCTCTACTACATCTTTTTTATTATGCATTTATCATATTATAGGGTATTCTGTATTATTGTTGCAATGAATAAAATGTTTCTTTTATTTATGATATTTTTTTCTTCAATTTATTTGTGTCCTCCTTTTCATTGTAAAAAAGTTGGTCACCTTATCAACAGCCCCTAGATTTAAAGAAAAGTATGGACCTATTTCCTTCTGAAATGGAGTCATAACAGAACTAGAAGTTTAAATTTTAGATCAAAACTAAGAAATTGTAGCTGTAATCCTAAAGATATTTGGCAACCCATCCGTTAAATTCTGAGAGATTTAGTTCTAAATTAACAAGTGTAGGATTTTATTGAATTTGAAAATTAAATTTAAATTAATAAAGTTAAGTTGAATTTATGGCCAAACGGTATGCAATGCCCAGATAGCTGTTTACAGAGATTGTGCTCTCTGTGTTATTTCTAGGTCCAACATATTGTTTGAACCTACCAAATCAAACTATCCTGAGTTTGGGACCATTCCGAGGGGGACCATGTGAATTGTTAACTAAAGTACTTCTGGTTCATGACCCAATATTGACTAGGGTCACTAGTTCACCAAGGATGCGAGACTAAAAATACCAACTGCCCCATTACAAACTCCCTGGCAAAGCCTAGCAGTCACGGGACACGACTTCTAAACCCTGGACTGCAGCAGCTGGGAAAGGGACAAGGGCTATTACTCTCCTAGTACAACAATTCTAGGATATTGGGCAGCCCTTAACCTCGTTAGTAAGACTATACCAGGGGTAGGCAACCTTGGCTCTTTGATGACTCGTGGACTTCAACTCCCAGAATTCCTGAGCCAGCATAGCTGGCTCAGGAATTCTGGGAGTTGAAGTCCACGAGTCATCAAAGAGCCAAGGTTGCCTACCCCTGGACTATACGCTTCCAGCAGCATCAATAAACTACTGCGACGTTAGCGCCTGCCTACTGCCGTCGACTAATCTCCGCAAAAGGGGCGCTGACCCGCCCGCTCGCCAGCGGTCCATCCCAGAAGAGAAGCCATGACGGATCTCCCTGGGCGAAACTACCCGTCTCGAGGGGGCGGGGCTTCTTTTCGGGCTAGCCCGGCGGCGCGTAGGGCGCGCGGTAGCCATGGCGACGGCTGCATCTGCTGCCGCGAGCCGGCGACATGTACGACCGGGCTCCCCGCTCCTTCCCTCTGCCGGTGGGCTGCACGAGCCCCCACCTAGGTCCCGGCTGCTACGACTTGCCTTCCCAGAACAGACAGATCCGAGGTGAGCGGCGGGAAGACGGAAAACGAGCCGGCCTCCACCCCGCCCGAAACGTTATCTCCTTTCTCCTCGCGCGTCTCTACGACATGCCATTATATAGTGGCCGGAGACGGGGGTGGGTGGATGGGGAGGAGAGGAGAGGATTTGCTACGATCAACCTGGCCCTGGGAGCTTTACAGGCGAGCAACGCGACGCGTCTTCCCCAACTACAGTAGACATCCACTAGGGCAGAGGTAGGCAACCTTGGCTCTTTTATAACTCGTGGACTTCAACTCCCAGAATTCCTGTATCAGCCAAGCTGACTCAGGAATTCTGGGAGTTGAAGTCCATGAGTCATAAAAGAGCCAAGGTTGCCTACCCCTGCATTAGGGGTTCTCAACCTTGGCAACTTTAAGACTTGTGGACTTCAACTCCCAGAATTCCTCAGCCAGCTTTGCTGGCTGAGGAATTCTGGGAGTTGAAGTCCACAAGTCTTAAAGTTGCCAAGGTTGAGAACCCCTGATTGAGACCTTAACTTTCAGACTGTGCGGCAAGGGCTCCTGGGAATTGTAGTTCCAGTACATCTGGAGCTCTTAGGCTGGAGAGTAATTTCCACTACTTCCGCCATGGATTTAGTGCGGTGTTTCTCAAACTTGGCAACTTTAAAACGTTGGACTTCAGATCCCAGAATTCTTTAGCTGGGGAATTCTTAAAGTTGCCAAGTTTTAGAAAGACTGAATTAGAGCTTTCTCTGTTTTAGTTTCCAGGAGGGTTAGATTTTTCTTAACAACTTTGTAAAAGATGTTCTTAACATAGATTTTTTCCCCTGTTTGCCTCTTGATTAAAAATAAGCTTAAAATTAACATGTACTACTCGGTATGTTTCATCCTTGCAGCTTCATGCTTTGATCTTGTACATGTTTGCTCAAAACTATGTCGTTGAGACTTAAGCAGTGCCATGCAGGAGTGTTAAATAGGGCTTTTCTGAGCTGCAGTCTTAAGATGTAGTTAAGTGGTTGGAAATTAAGTCGGTTTACAGAACTTCTTTTTGGATTTTGACCCCTTCCTCAGTTTTCATCAAAGTGATGGTGGAATATTCTCTCCAGAAATCATTTACCATGACCTGACTGAAGGATTCCCCTTTTTTTCTATCACCCATGTCAGGAAAAAAAAGCACCAGTGGCTTTTCTTTTGTGGGCAAGTGTTTGATCACATGTAGTTTCCATTGGTAGCCCTTTTTCATGAGCCCCCATTGCTGAATCCCCATAATACTTAAAATAGAATAACTTTATTGACAATACTAATCAGCATACATTATGCCTTTCCATCTGTTGTAATCACCAGTTTTGTTTAACTTGGTTAAACAAGTTAAAAACAAGAATAGCAGTGTTACAATTCCTCCAATCACTTGAACTAAAAGGGGAAAATAGCAGAACTCTTGCCAATTTCATCTAATTAAACAGAAAGAAAGATGCAGAGTGAGAGAAAACAAGGTCCAGTGGACCTCTAAAGAATGACTGTCAAAGTTTAACTTATGGGAAGAGTTGGGATTGTCCAGCATCATCCCTGACTGAATTACTGGACTCATTATTGGGCTGATGTAAGAGTTCCCGAGGCTGTTAGTATTCAGGGATTTCAATCTACCTCTTTGTGACATTGAGTCTGGGGCAGATCTGGAGTTCTTGGCCTTCATGGCAACCATGACTCTTTTTCACATTATTGAGGGCACAACACATAATGGTGGCTGCATATTAGATCTGGCTTTTTGTCTTGAGGCAGTCTCTACATGATCTGAAACATTAACATTAGTCCATTGTGTGAACAGATCATTCTCGCCTTTCAGCTCACTGATGTCACCCCTTCCTGCAGGAATACGGTCTGTTTGATTGGCCCACGTCAAGGTATTGATGGATCCAGTGGATATCTCAGAAACAGTCTGGGGTTTTCCCTGAAGATCCAACAGGCAATTTGGCTAAGGTCTTAAATGCTGTTTGGATTGATGGGAGACTGCAATCTTGGGCAATAGCACCACTATGCAGTATCAGTGTGCTGATATCAAGTGCACATTAGTTTATTGAGGAGCTTCAAAAGATGAAGGCTTCCTCCATTGGAGGAAAACCTGTAGTGAATGTGTTTAAAGTGGAAAAACTCTATATTGCTCATAGTAATGAGAACAGCACAACTTCAGTATTTCTCCACCATGATTGTGTCCAATACCTTCATTTAAAGTGACCCACTCCCTGTTGTGTCCCCAGGTCACAGGCTGTTTTGAAGAATATTCTGGGTACCTGGTGGATAAAGTTGCTCAGATCTACTCTGACTGGGCAGGTCCTGCTGAGGTGCCTGGTGCCCAGTCTTGTGATGCAATCTGGAATGAGTTTGAACCAGTGAGCCTTAAGGAAGTAGACAGGGTTCTTTGTGCTGTCAGGTTGACAGTCTCTTATTAAACCTGGTATCCTCCTGGGTCATGAAAGTGGTTAGAGGAGATGACCTCTGATTGGCTTCCTTAATGGAGAGGATGATTCGTTCTGCCTTGAAGAAAGTCATGGAGGGCTTTATAGATCATAATCACTGCCTTGAATTGTATCTGGAACATTGGAACCCAGTGCATTCACAAAGTAGCAGTGTTACACGGACATAATAAGATTTTGTTTTATGGGGGACAGAAAAGCCATAAGCACTCAATCTTGGCAGGCTTGAACTGGAACCTGTTCTTCCCCATCCAGACCTTTACAGCCTCCAGATACCAGAAAGAACCTTGATACCTTCACTTGGACAGCCTGGATGGAGATGGATACCTGAGTATGTTGTGTATATCTTTGCTGTATTTGTCCTGTGTATGAAAGCAACATTGTTCGTTCTTTGTTTCTTTTTGTATCATGAACAGTAAACAGCATGGCTTTCTGACAAAGTGACCAATTATCCTTTCCAGTTCACTAATGCCTAAGGTCAATCTGTAGTTGGTTCATTTCACCTTTCCCTAAGGCTTTCCCACATTCATACTTTTTATGCTCCATTTTCTCACTATAGTTTTCCCTTTAGAAAGATCCTCAGCTCTTTACCTTCAGTAACATCTTAGGTGGCATGTGATTACCATCCAGACTGTGGGACCCCCATCCATTATTATATCATCAATCTGTTTATTTGGTTTTCTTAATAAAATGCAGGTGTGTTTGGTGCTGCTTTCCCCCATCCTACCTGAAATGATTTTCTATGTCGTCACTAAAATGGCATTCTGCTTCCATTATCTTTCTTTATTTCTGCTGTTCAGTAAGAACCTCCTCGCTTTAGTTGAGCAGCTGGGATGACCTTTGCACCTTGGATGATCCTTCTGATATTATATACTCTTGGCATACATGGACCAACATTCTTCACTCATCCCTCCCAGAAGCACTTTTTGCCACAAAGAGGCAGCATAGCAGAACTTGGGAGAGGAAGGTGTCCTTCATATTAATATTATTCACAACTGAATAAACAGCAGAAAAAGTCTTAAAAATGCATATATGTTTTCTCTTCAGGTGGCTATGCCCCCTTTCTTTCTCTGGCAAGTCGTGGGCTTGAAGTTATTTCTCAAAATGATGAGGATGATATTCCAGGGCCAGGATCCTATGAGATTAATAGAATACAGGTAGAGCCATATTAATAAACCTGATATAAAAGATATAAGATACTAAGGAATGGTAAATGGATTTATGATATAGATGAAAACTTGTATTTCTTCAAAAATATTTTTATCTGGCTTTTCTATTTCTATTCTAAATTAGTGATTTGTTTGATGCAGCAGTTCTAAATGCAAGCAATTAGTTGAATTCTAAAATTCTTTTATTTCCCACTTTAATTTATCACTCCTTTCTAAAATGGTTGTCAAATTATTCTAAAGTTTTTTTCCCCTATTACTAGGTGATTGGATTAGATCAGGGGTAGGCAACCTTGGCTCTTTTATGACTCGTGGACTTCAACTCCCAGAATTCCTGAGCCAAAGCTGGCTCAGGAATTCTGGGAGTTGAAGTCCACGAGTCATAAAAGAGCCAAGGTTGCCTACCCCTGGACTAGATCCACTGATGGATATTAGAATTTGTAAAAAAATAGAGTGCCAAGAACTTCAGAGAAGTTTTTAAATTAGTACATCTATTATGCTCTGAATCATCTTACTTTTTATACTTTTGAACTGCACTAACTTGTGGCTATGAAATCTATGCTGGGAAAAAATTGAAATGTTTTGTTTTAGTTACTAATCCCAAATTTTCCATTTAAATACCTCTGTGACAACATACTGCATTCAACAATTTGGCAACATATTACATTCGGTCTTATAAGCTATTCATCTAAAGAGAATATTATTATTTTTAATTCACAAGATAATAAAGGGAAGATGGGATTTTCATTTTTCTTTTTGATTTTTAAAAGCTTCATTGCTAAGCTTTATTTAGCATTTATGAAACACGTGTCAGCATAATTTTTGAAATACTCTATGAACAAGCAATAACACAAAAGCATTCATTTTAAACCAAGGCCAGGGGAACATAGGTTCTAGTCTTGTCTTGGGCATAGAAAGCACCTTGGTGACTTGCGACTAGTCCCCAGGGGATCTCTTCGCCCTTAGAAGACAGGAAAAATAAAGCATATTTGAAAAATATTGCCGATTAAAACTGCATGTAATTCACTACTATGTATTCACCAGAAGTCACTGACAGAAACTCACACAGACACACACAAACAGAAAGTTTATTCTCTCTCTCTCTCTGTGTATTCATTTTGAAATGGGGAAGCAAAGTGTATGAGTTGCTGTGTTTTTGCTTAATGAATATTTAGAAACAGGATATTTAGGATTTAAGTTGTATACAAAACGGATTTAAATGTGATTGCTTTTTCCAATTTAAAGCATAATATTAGTGCACAACTCCAAAATCAGAATTATTTTTTTCTCACTGGGTATTGAATATTCCGGTGCAGCTTTGTAGTTATGACTTTTTAACAGCCTGCACTAAATGCCTAATGGTTTGCATACTAAAATGGCACTATAAAAATAGGTGGACTATAAAAACTTAGGAACTCTTTGTTTTAAACATCTTTGTACTCTGTACTATAAGCTTACCGTTACTATGAAACTACAGATAGATAATAGAAATTCAATTAGACAATACCTAATACAAATAACGCATAGTAACAATAAGTAGTAGAATTAATAAGTAATAATTAGAATTGTTAGGAGCGCAATTGCTCACGGTTAAAGACAGCCTGGGTTCGAGACTCAAGCGCTGCACGACAGGATGAGCTCCCATTACTTGCCCTAGCTCAGGGGTAGGCAACCTTGGCTCTTTTATGACTCGTGGACTTCAACTCCCAGAATTTCTGAGCCAGCTGTGCTGTGCTGGCTCAGGAATTCTGTGCTGTGCTGGCTCAGGAATTCTGGGAGTTGAAGTCCACGAGTCATAAAAGAGCCAAGGTTGCCTACCCTTGCCCTAGCTCCTGTCCACTTAGCAGTTCAAAAGCATGCAAATATGAGTAGATAAATAGGTACCATTTTGGTGGAAAGCATTCTATGCCCCTTGGCTTATAGTCATACTATCCACAGGACCATGGAAATGTCTTCAGACAATACTGGTTCCGTCGGTTAAGAAATAGAGATGAGAACCCCCACTAGAATAGGAAACAACTGGACAGGGGAAACCTTTGCCTTTAATTAGAATTGTAAGCTGCCCAGAGTTACTTGGTTGAGTTGGGTGGCTATAGATATTTGTATAAATAATAAATAAATAAAACTCAGTGCCCTGAACTAGCTACAAACCAATTCACAGGAACAAGTGAATTCAGTATTAAAAAGTATTTGGGATTAAAAACAGTAGCTGCAGTAACTACTGTAAAAATATTTTTTGAATAACCAGAGGTTTTTTTATTAGCTTCAAAAAAACTGACAGAGGAAGAATTAAGTAGACTTCGTATAGAAGCTATTCCTAAAACGATGAACGCATTGTCCTTCTCATTCCTACTGAACTTCAGTTAGTGAGGGAACAGAGATCAGAAGCTGATCCTGACCAAAACATATGGTATGACATACATGAGAGAGATAATGGTTTTTGAATTACTAGCCATTTTTGATCTTTTAGACCTAAGAAAAAGCTCCTTAAAATGGATCGGGATTTTTCCATTTTTAGTTAGGCATGTAGGCAAAATATTTAATAATTTTAACTTTTATGTAGGTGCAACCTGTGAGATTGGTTCATGATTTATTGTATTTTGTGAATCCAATCTGTTGTATTCATTTAGAAAATCATGGCAACAGTGGGTTTGCATGATTTCTGAACCATATAATCTTTTTCTTTTACGAGTTTGGTTTGTCTAAGCCACATGATAGGACCTATATTCTCATTCTTGGTAAGTACGTGGAGAGTACGGTATAACCAGTGATTACTGCTGCATTATGGATGATTTTCCTGTTGTTGTTTTTTTAACTTCAGAAAACTATTAAAGGAGGCAAAAGTCCTCAAAACAAGGAAAAGCGTTTTAAAGTTGTAATTAATGATACACCTGGTCCTGGAACATACTGCCAACCTCCTTCATTGAGTCCAGAAGATAGTAAGACAAAAAGACCATTGAAAATGCCTTCTGCACGGGTAGGGCAACATAAAAATGAATATTGTTATTTATTTATTTTTATATGAACAGTTGACACTGATAGTAACGTTTTATGTAAATGTTTTCTGTAGTCAGATACTTTCTGAAAAAAGTCCTGTAAAAGACAATGCATTCTGGAAATTTCTGTTTTGTTGAAGTTGCAAATAGAAGGACTTTGAAGCCTGCATTATATGGAAATGTGTTATTAACTATGTAAATGCTTGTATGATTTTTGTTCATCTTTTGCACACATTACTTGAGGGCAATGGACTGAAAAAGTTACTATTTTATTCCTTGTAGTGGTTATCAATATTTCTGTTTCAATTACCAATGTTATATGGTTGCAGTATTATTTCTGAACTATGATGAGATTTTTGCTGTGACAATTTTCTTAGAGCAAAACAAACAGATTCCCCTTCACTGAAAATTTGCTATGCAAATATAAGCCTCTGTTTCAGTGTGTTATGTAAATGTCTGTTTGTCACTCTCTTCCTGAAGGATTTTCTGAGAACCTTGGGCAATTTTTGGCAGAAATATAATTTCTTTCCTCTAAAGACTACTTCTAAAAACTAAAACACTACTTCTCTGCATTAGGGATGTGCAAGCTGGGAATCTTGTGAAGGCAAACATGTTTGATGTAAATAAACCAAAGAAAGAATTGTTTCGAGAATGCTTGAAAAAGGCTGGATAAAATGTTCTTCAAGGAATTTTATTTTTTATTTAATAAAACAATTGAAACTCAATAAAACAACTGAAACTCATAGAGAATTGCAGAATAAACTATCTTTGTTTTGGAAATGAAATTGTATTCTTCTCTCTCTCTCTCTCTCTCTCTCTCTCTCTCTCTCTCTCTCTCTCTCTCACACACACACACACACACACACACAAAATCTGTAGAGATCTCATGATCACTCTTTTTATCACAAGGTGGAGCTATCTTCAGTTTATCCTTCTCCTTCATGAGTAATTCCTTGATTTCAAGGCATTGGAAGGGAGGTTCAGGCTCGGACATGGAATGGAGATAATATGGGTGGCTGGATTTTTATCAAACCCTGGATGAAGGAAATTCATCCTGGTTCTTTTAGACCAGGGGTGTCAAACTGCTGGCCCGCAGGCTGGCCGCATCATCTGGAAGCCGCACCCACCCCATTGCCGGCAATGGCAAAACCGGCCTAATGCGTTGCACAATGTCACGTGATGTCGCGAGTTTGACATGTCTGTTTTAGACATCTCAGTGGCTTTTGATACCACTGAACATAGTATCCTTTTAAATAGCCTGCTGGAGCTCTAGGTTGCAGCAGTTCTACTTTCTTCCTTGTGGATAGTTCCAGTCACTGATGGCGAAGCAGGAAAGATCAACTCAATAGATACTCCTTTGTGGGATGCTGTAGTAGTAGTAGTAGTAGTAGTAGTAGTAGTAGTAATAATAATAATAATAATAATAATAATAATAATAATAATAATAATAATAAAGTTGGAAGGGACCTTGGAGGTCATCTAGTCCAACCCCCTGCTCAGGCAGGAAACCCTATACCATTTCGGACAAATGGCTGTCCAGTCTCTTCTTAAAAACCGCCAGTGTTGGAGCATTCACCACTTCTGGAGGCAGGTTGTTCCACTGGTTAATTGTTCTAACTGTCAGGAAGTTTCTCCTTAGTTCTAGGTGGCTTCTCTCCTTGATTAGTTTCCATCCTGGCTTCAGGCGCCTTGGAAAATAGCTTGACTCCCTCTTCTTTGTGGCAGCCCCTGAGATATTGGAACACTGCTATCATGTCCCCCCTCGTCCTGTCATCTCTTTTTTAAATTTACATGAAGCTACTGAGAGAGGCTTTCAAAGTTTGGGTTCAAGATCATTAATATGCTCATGATACTTGGCATTACATCAGAAGCCCAGTCAGAATGGTGATAGATTTGAGGTTTTATCCTGGTGCCTAGAGGTTGGAAGGTTTAAACTAAATCCTAGCAAGAGAGAGTTACTATTTGTTTGGAGTTCTCTATGTGTTCTCTCTTGATGGGTAGTATTACCCTTAAAAGAGAAGATCTGGTATTTGTGGGTTCTTTCGGACTCATAGATACTGATAAAACAGCATGTGGAACTTTCCCCCCAGTTTGGCTGGTATTCCAATTGCAACCCTACTTGGGTTGGGAGGATCTTTATAGAGGTCTTCATCCCATCTCTGGTTATAGTTTGATTTATTTTATTTTATGTTTATTTTATTTTAAGAGCCATGGTGGTGCAGTGGTTTGAATGCAGTATTGCAGGGTAATTATGCTGACTGCCAGCTGCTAACTGTTTGGCAGTTTGAGTCTCACTGGCTCAAGATTGACTCAGCCTTCCATCCTTCTGAGGTCGGTAAAATGAGGACCCAGATTGTTGGGGTCAATATGCTGATTCTGTAAACCACTTAGGGAGTGGTGTACAGCAGGGGTCCTCAACCCCGGCATGCCAACAATGGGTCCGTGCAAACAAGCAAAGCTCTATCCATGGGATGCAGGCAGCACACAAAACCACGCCCTCTCAGTTCTGTGGAAAAACCTTTCTCCATGGAGCCGGTCCCTGGTGCCCAAAAGGTTGGGAACCTCTGGTGTAAAGCACTGTGAAGTGGTATATAAGTCTAAGTGCTATTACTATTATTCATTTTGGAACTTTTATTATTGTATATTTTATCGCATAAGCCACCAAGAATCTTTAGGTTGTCTATATATATGATAAACAAACAGTAGGTAATTTCTTAAAGATAGACCAATGGGATGCAATCAAGAGGGCCCATTTATATAGATAAATATTCTCTGACAAAGATGGCAGTAAGTTTATATATCTTACATAGGCCTTCCACAACTGATACTTTTTAGCAGTAAGAGATCTCATCTCCTGTTTTCCAAGTTAATTTCCAAAAGATTATCCTGAATTCAAGGCACAACTGGATAGTAACAAGGCTGCCTTAAAGAATGAAGAAAATGATAAGATACAGAAAATGCTGGATATGCCCACGTAATAGAGCAGTCATAACACATGTGGCTGTGGCAAATATCAAAATAGCTAATCTTGACTTTGACCTCTTGGGAGGTAATTAAATGGTAAACTCTCTGAAAATCTGGAATAGTCTGATGAAATGTAAAGCACTGTAAGATATTATTGAAGTGAAGAATGAGAGAAGACATTCAGCATGGCCATTAAAGGTGAAGTGTCAAGCTTATTGTTCAGAAACTCAGTTACTATAGCCTTTAAAAGGAATCATAGAAGCTAAGTTCTACAATAAGCAGATTTGTTGATTTATTGTGCCATCAAGTAAAGTGTTGAGTCTTGATAACTATCTAGACTGGGCAAGATTTCAGAAGTGGTTTGCCATTGCCTTCTTCCTAGAGCTGAGTAAGAAAATGAATGACCCACAGTCATTCAGCTGATTTTGTACTTAAGGCAGGACTAGAACTCAGAATCTCCTGACATGAAAGAAATCAAATTCATCTATTACCATATATTTCCCATGGTTGCCTCTAAACAACTAAATTATAAAATTGCCAATTCTTGCCATCAGTTGCAATAGAACCTGTGTATCATCTGTAGTTCCTTCCATAGAATAGATAAATTATTGGTTTCAGATAAGAAAATTCCTCACTATCCAAGAAATCACTCAGGTAAGAGAAGCATTAGACAAAAGATACTCCATCTTTTGATAGAAAGAGTGGTATTAAGAGAGATTACTACTGAATGATCTCTCAAAAATCTGCAAAAATATATTTCAAATTCGTTAATTCTTCCCTTAAATTGGGCTATTGAGCTTCAGAAAACCTGGATGAAATGCAATGGAAAATGATTTTATTAAAGGTCTATAGTTCAAATATACTCTGTTCTCTTTGTGATTAAGTTCAGTTGTGTAATTTGATGTTCCTTTGTAAAATAAATTCCAATCTTGTATTATTGATAGAAGAAAATATTTGTAGCTCAGGGTGCTCTCTGAATCTGGTGTGCCATGAAAATCAGTGAGCACCAAGTACCCCACAATCTTGTATTATGTTTTACGGTTAGAAGAATGGGTTGTAAAGGAACTAATAATACTACTGTATGTTTATTTCCACAGAAAATTGCAGGCTGTATCAAATATTTCCGAAAGTCAGAGGCTCCATCCATTCCTTCTCAAGGACAAGCATTTGGTTATGAAGAGGCTGAAGATGGGACACTTATAAAATTTAGCCAGCCTGTAAGAGACAGTACGTTGGGACCAGCATACTATCAAACAGTATATGTAAGTAATTTTAAAAGATGGGACAGTGTTCTTGGCTTTATAGGATTATGAAGTTGATACTCAGAGCTTCCGGAACCCAAGAGTCCTAAATTGGGGTTATCAGGAACAATCGTATGTTAAGCTAGAAGTAAGTGATTTTCTACCTAAAAAACCTGCAGCTTTCCATTTCTTAATTTTTATTATCCAATGCATTTGTCATACAAATGAAATCCTACTGCAAGATTAGAGAGTTCTTTCTATTTATGATATTTCACTTTTCACTGGGAAACTTAGTGGTTTTCCTATTAGTCGATGTTATAGTAACTCAAAATCACGACCGGTACAAATTGAACTTCACTAGATAGGTTCCAGGACTTTTGAAACGGAGAAGGTGATGAAACACTAAAGTAATGATTTAAAACCCGTAAGGAAACGTAAATGTCCATCAGGAGCTTTATACTTGAATTACCTCGGACGGGTAATCCAAGTATTCGTTTTTTATTGGTCAAATGAATCAGATGCAATTTTACAAATGTTTAAAATCAATTTAATTAATTAAATCAAATGGTTTGTTAAATGAACAAAAATCTGGCTTACTATTTCCTCTGCTTTGTTAATTGATCTCTGCCTGAACTGAGAGACCTTCCTGCTGCTGCCAACCACCAATCAGGTGTTTGCTTCTGCTCAGGAACTAAATGCCTAAAAGCAGGCTGCATCTCCTTTAGTAAAGATTTTTGCAGTTGCCAGGTACTTAGAGGGTGATGGGGGAGGGGTTTACAGAACTGTTGACTTGCAACAGTAACAGAGATGGAAGGGACCTTGAGAACATCTAGTCCAACCCACTGCTCTCACAAGAGAGTACTGTATTTCTGATAAATGCCTATCCAGTCTCTTCTTATAAGCTTTCAGTAACGGGGCACCCACAACTTCTGGAGGCAATTTAAATTTTAAACCTACAAACTACAGTAATATTTGCTAACCTCCAAAATAAAAGCAAGGAAGCACAACATTATAGAATGCTTTGTGAGGAGGCTGGCTAGCATTTCTACAAGTACTGTACTTAGAAACACAATAGTAAGTAAGTACTTAAAAAGAAGAGCAGTTTCCAAAGTGCTTGCAAACTGTTTGTTTCTAGAGTAACAACAATAACAATAATTTAAAATACTTACAAGCAATTCTAGTTCTGAAGCCCAAGCAGCAGCAGAATCTCTACCAGCACCAATGAAAAAACTCGGCACCAGCTCGGCTCTTGTTTGGCTATGTGACCAGGGACCCCCCCCCCAAAGCCCTGCCTGCTTCGTAAGCTGAATGGCCCAGGCAAGTTACAGAGTTCAAAATGGCCGTGGCTGCAGCAGGGATTGAATTCAAGTCACATGGCTACACAGGGCTTTTTTTGCTCGTGGTTTTGAATTTCTAATCAATTCATTTTTGTGAAAATTCGCTAAATAAATTTTCGTACCTGGGGGATTACCTGTATACATATAGTCCTTGACCATTTGTTTAGTGACTGTTCGAAGTTACAATGGTAGTGAAAAAAGTGACTTGTGACTGTTTTTCACACTTATGATTGTTGCAGCATCCCCAGGGCCATGATCAAAATTTGGACGCTTGGTAACTGCCACGTGTTTATGATGGTTGCAATGTCCCGAGGTCATGTGATCTCTTTTTGCAACCTTCTGACAAGCAAAATCAATGGGAAAGCCAGAATTCACTTAACAACCATGTTACTAACTTAATAGCTGTAGTGAATCATTTAACAACTGTGGCAAAATTTACTTAACAATTGTGTTACTTAGCAATGGAAATTTTTGGCTCAATTGTGCTTGCAAGTTGAGGAATATCTGTACTCTAGGATTTAGTTCCCAGATTGGATTCTCCCTATCTTTTCGGTTCCAATCAACTGATTCACCTTTTTTTAGCCGATGACTATCCCACTTATTCTCAGTAAGATCATTAACTCTTCATTAAATCTGAGATATTTGTCCTTATATATAAGCCTGTGAGTTGTTGCACTTCCTGTACTTTTTTCAATCGATACTTGATCAGTTGTATTGACTTTAGGCATAGACATTTGATCATTTTTGCTTAAGTATGACTTGGATCTTGTAGCCAGGCATGATACCATTTATATATAGCATTACTTTAAGTTGCTTTGGCAGAAGCAATAAAGCAAAGTTCATAGAGTGCTATGATACATTAGATCAGGCATGTCAAACTCGCGACGTCATGTGACGTTGCATGACGAATCGGGATTTTTTCCCCATTGCCGGCAATGGGATGGGCACGGTTTCGGCATGACGCGTCCAGCCCGTGGGCCAGCAATTTGATATGCCTGCATTAGATTAAGATGTAGAAGTATCAGGAAGATTTATATGTGCCATCTGAATGAGAACCATCTCACCTGGCACATTCAAACTTTGGCAATTTTTAGCAAATCTAAAAATTTGTAAAAATACAACTAACATTACAGCCTATAAGAAATAACAAGCTTTGTAGGCGATATAACTTTATTACTTTGTAGGCGATATAACTTTATTACTTTGGTTGCCCCATCTGATAACATCTCTCTCTATATTATATGGTATATATCAGTGGTGGCGAACCTATGGCACGCGTGCCAGAGGTGGCACTCAGAGCCCTCTCTGTGGGCACGCGCGCCATCCCCCGGAGATGGCAATCATCCCTCTTCAACCAGCCACCCGCTATCTTGCCGAGGTCCCACATGGCTGGATGCATCCCAGCATCCATGCGCTCACTGGCCTCTGTGTGCAGGGGCCGATGGTGTCAGGCAGCAACTGCCCCGGCCCCTTCCTCACCTTGCCCTGTGACAATGGCACCCCCACCCTGCCTTGCCTTGCCTCGCCTCACCCCGCAGGACGAGCCTTGTGCCTACCGGCCCACCTGCCAGAGACTCCCTGGATCTCCCGCAATCTTGCCCGGCCCCCACAGGCATCCCTCCCCATGAGCAACATTGAGATGATCACGCCCACCTTGGCCACACCCACCCAATCTGCCATGACCACCACAGCCATGCCCATTCAGTGGACTACGCCCACCTGGCACCTGGCGATAAATAAGTGGGTTTTGGGTTGCAGTTTGGGCACTCGGTCTCTAAAAGGTTCGCCATCACTGGTATACCTCCGAGACCGCCTTCTGCCACAGACTCCCTCCCACAGACCGGTACGCTCCCACAGAGCGGGCCTCCTCAGGGTGCCGTCGGCCAAGCAATGTCGGCTGGCGACCCCCAGGGGGAGGGCCTTCTCTGTGGGTGCCCCCACCCTCTGGAACGAGCTACCCCCCGAGATCCGGACGATTCCGGATCTCCTAACCTTC